TTCATACAGTATTTTGGTGCACCTGCATTTTTACTGACCTGTCACCTGGAGTGGGCTGTGGAACTTTCTGCTTGAGGCATCAGAGATGCTGTTTAAACTCTAGAGTTTCTTTGGATTTCAGATTTCTGGATGAAGGATGCTGCTACACGTGCTGAAAAATCACATCTCCAGCAACATTTCAAATAAAACCAAAATCTCAGACTTACCATAAGATCCTGTGTCCTCAGAAAAATCGGTGGCCTTTAGTCGATAATACCTGACTTTCTTTGAAACCTTGTCCTTGGTGTCCCAGAGCCTCAAGATGACCTTGTGCAAATTTATTTTCTTTAATAATTCCTTTGTCACGTTGATATTAAAAGTTTGGCTCCATGACACCCAGATTTTGTTACCTTCTCGCCAGGCTTCATGGTCTGTGAAACAATACCTTTCGAGTCTAACTGTGGGGAGGAGGAGCAGTGTGCAGAGCTTGGTAGCCCCCATCAGCCTGGCCCATCAGCAATGGAGCCAGCATGCCATCCTTGCCTGTCTGGCTTCTATGCCTGCCTCTCTTGGCTCTGAACTCACAGTGGGACATGGGGTCCACTCAGGCCTCTGGGTTCCTCAAAAAAATAAAAAGCAAAGCAAATTCCCATAAATAGTGTCCTCTCTGGTTACTTCTAAGCAACGACCCAGAGCCAAACCTTGGCAGGGGTGTGCTTGCACATGTATACACACAGTCATGCACACATGAGTAGGTATACACATACAGGTGCACACACAAAGAAAGAAATTATAAGAGCTGCTGAAACTTTTGAAATACTCAGGAAATTATGGAGTAAAAGTACCTAAAGGAAAAATCATGCAGCTGAGTGCTACTCATTCTTAGGTGAGTGCAGATTCTCACTCAGGAAGTCTGGGGTGGCCCCAGGATCCTGCACTTCTAGCAAACTCCAGGGCTGTGTATACTTCAGGTCCATGGAATACACTCTGTGCTATGAATATTGCACTCCACACACCCTGTACCTTTGCTCCTGACTCCAGGAATACTTTGGCCACTGTTGGAAATAGCACTATATCGACTATTTTAGGTTCTTCATCATTGGGCAGGATGAAATATTCAATGTGGTAGAAACGGCGAGCCTTTGCAACACGGCTTTCCACTTTAAAGTGTCTCTTATATTTATCAGTGAAATTTGTGAATTTTCCTTTTTGATCTAGAAGAGAGAGAGTTAATGGACTTGTTCTGTCACCACAGCTCCCTGGAGGCAAGACAGAGTGCCATGGTTTGGAAATGGCACCCAAAGTCCATGTGTTAAAGGCTTGCTTCAGTCTGTGGTGCTACTGGGAGGTGATGGAACCTTTAGGAGGTGGGCCTAGTGGAGGTAAGTTAAGTCACTGGGGTGTGCCCTTGGAAGGTTAGTGGGACTGAGCCTCTCCCTTCTTTCTGCCTCCAGGCTGACATGCGGTGAGCAGTTTCCTTCCCTCACACTCCCACCAAGATGTTCTACCTCACCAAAGGCCCAAAAGCAACAGAGTCAAGTGACTGAAACCTCTGAAAACATGACCAAAACAACCTTTTCCTCCTTATAAGTGAGTATCTCAGGTTTTGTCACAGTGATGGAAAACTGACTAACACAAAGAGCCTGGGGCTGTGGGAGGCTGTGTAGCCCTGTGCTGTTCACCCACTAGCTTGGAGGAGAAGATAAGTTCCAGTCCTGGCCAACAGAGTAGCAGAGCCAGACTGGGCACCAGCATGCAACATTTAAGTGCATAGTTCTGAGAGAGGTATCTCCTTAGGTGTTTCATGTTGGTAGCCTCGCTCGTCTCACTCTAGGCCCAGCTCTAAGAAATGAGTCAAAACCAAATAAATACAACATGACTCGTATGGTAGCAGCAGTTTGAACTGGTTTCTGAGATACAGTGAGGCAGTGCAAATAACTCTGCCTGGGATGGTGAGTGCAGTCTCCCCAGGACCTTAGCAGAGTCTTCTGTAGTGAAGTTGGCAGATATGCCTAGCAAAAACCCCATGAGAAATGCTGCCAGAGGCCAGAGCCTAAGGCACCCCACTGTCTGCCACAAGCTTCAACGGAACTGTCTACATTGGAAATTTTCACACTATATGAACTCCACAAATATTTGTTTGGGACTTTTTTTTTTGAGATGGAGGGTCTCACTACGTTGTTCAAACTGGGCTCAAGTGATTTCCTACCTCAGCCTCCCAGGTACTATAGGCATGCACCCCCAGACCCTGCTCTCCATAAGTATCTGATCCAAATTTCATTCCACCAAAATAGGATTCTTTTATGTGACTTTTTTTTTTTGGCAGTACTAGAGTTTGAACTCATGGCCTTGTGCTTGCTAGGCATGTGCTCTACCACTTGAGCCACTCTGCCAGCCCATGACTGTTTTTAAAAGCTGGTTTTCTGGGGAGGAGGGGGGCAGAATATGTTTGTTTGGGGACTGGGAGGGACATTTTTTTGCACTTTTTCAGGGCTTTTGTTTTGCTTTTTAGGGTGTTAGGGATGAAATCCAGGACCTTACACATGCTAGGCATGCAATTCTACCACCCAGCTACACCCCCACTACATGTTGTAGATTTAAAGTCTAATTTTTTAACCAGGAAACTGCTACTGTATGGACAGAATAGCTAGTGTTTGTGCACAGCTTGGAGTAGAGCACCACCTGCCAGTCCTAGGTAGCCAGCACACTTTTCTGTGAAGCTTTCTGCCCCGAAAGCTTGTGGCCTATGTTCTGATTTGATCCAAGGTAGAGTGGACAGAGCCTCTCATTTTCTGTTGATGGAAGAGCAAATTATTATAACCCTTTTGGAGGTCAACTTAACAGTAACTGTCAAACAACTTTAAGGGCATACCTTTAACCAAGAGCTCTTGGAATTCAGGCTACAGAAGTACCCACACATGGGTATGCACAAAAATATATGTATAGGATGTCTGTTGCACAATAGTACCTTAAATATCCACCAAAAAGGGGTAGAATAGGGCTGAGGTATAGCTCAGTGGTAGAGTGCATGCCTAGCATGTGTGAGGACCTGGGTTCAATCCATGGAAAGAAGAGGTCATCACATAATGACAAAAAGTTCCACACACCAAGGAAATGGAGCAATTGTAAATATGTTCTACACCAACTAATCAAACAGCTTCCAAAATATCTGAAGCAATAAGAGAACAAGCTGCAAGGAGAAGCTGAAATCAGTCACCATGAGGGACAGTTAAATAGAGAAGGAAGGGAAGGAAGAAAGGGAGGATGGATCAAAGTTTATCAATCTGCCCCTAATGTTGAACTATGTGACTTGCTTTGGCCAAAGAGACATTAGCAGGTAGGAGTCACCGAGACACTTGCTTGTGGAAATGAGCTTACCCTCTGTGTGCACCTGCCTTTGCATGACAAGCAGCTATCTGGGAGGAGGATGGAAGACACATGGACAGAGCAGAACCACCATCCCAAAGCCCAACCTGGATCCATGCCCTGAACATACAGGGAACAACAGGTTCTTGTTTGCAGTCAGTGAATTCAGGGCTTGTTTTGTGGCAATAACTAAATCAACATCTTGTACTCAGAGATTTTGATTCAGTGGATCTCAGATGTATTTTAAATGAGGTATTGGGTGATGCACAAGACCAATGCCTTAACCTCTCTGTGGTTTCTTTGTCCATAAAAACCAGATGGCATATCACCTACTTCTTAGGGCTTTGAGAGGATGAAGTACACTGAAGCCACAGAGCCATGCACATGCCTAGCCCATCCTTGAGCTCTGCTAAACTTGCTGTTATTTTTCTGACCTGTGATCCCGGCTGGCATCAACCACCCCATATGGGGAGGGCAGAAAAAAGATGCAGGTCAGTAGGGCACCCCCGTTGGCAGAGGATGCTGAAATTCTGCTTTAGCATCTACCTACATTAACCGGGAAGGCCAGCGAGATAATGAATTTGCAGGGGACAACGTGGGGCACGTCGGAGTCAAATGTGCTGGCAGTCTCCACGAAGGACCCCATGCTGCTGTACTGGTCATCAGAGTCAGACTCCTGGGCCCTGGCCCTGGCCCTCAGGTACTCCTCCATATCACAGTCGCTCAGTGACTAGTAAAGGCTGGCCAGGGAGGACATGGGCTCCATGCTTGCCCGGTCCTCATCCTCCCACTCCCAGGCGTGCAGCGACATGCTGGCAGCGCCGACTGGCAGTGCTGCCTGTGGAGAATAATGACTCCATCACCCTCTGCTGTGGGAGCCAGTCGGCCGCCTGCAGGAAAACCCACCTTTTACTCCCTTCTCTGCCTCCTCCCACGAACTACCCAGGTCTGGACAGTAGACACACAACAGATTTGGAGAGAGTGGCCTCCTGCATTATCATGAGCTACCCGATTCCCCGACCCGAGCCGAGCCGGTCATTGGGCGCCTCTGGAGGGCCTGGCCCGGTGAGCCCCGTCCCGGAGGCGAGAGGGCTTGGGGAGGTGACGCAAGGCGGGCTCGGGGACGATGCTCCCCAGCACAACAGGCGCCTGTCCTCTGGGGCAAGGGAAACCATGCCGAGGACAGCACCGGCAGGCGCCTGGCGAGACCCCCACGAAGACGAATGTGTTCGCTGGGCTCAAGGGCACAGCCCAAGGTTCTTGGAGGCAGAACCCGCGCTAACGCTCAGAAGGCTGCTGGAGCCCCGCGAGGCGAGGAGTCAAGAAGGGACGTCCGGCTGGGGGAGTCCCCGCTGGGGTCAGGGTCGAGGGGTACCTGCGAGTGGGCGCGCTGGGCCGCAGTTCAGACCCTAGCGTCAGATCCCACGCCTGCCCCGCGCGGGAGGCTCCAGGAGCCTCGCGGAGCGCGCGCCGAGAGTCCTAGGGGAGCAGCGCCCTTTTGTTTCTCAGTTGCCCGGAAACCGGAGGCCGGGGGCGGGGCTCCGCGGGGCGGGGCTCCCCTTCCACCAGGCCTTTGAGCACAAATGAGTTCTGGTGAGCAGATGTGTACACTCTCAGACACCACTTGCATTCACTCATTCATTAGTTCATTCACGCAATCTTTTAGGAACTCCTACTCTGAGCCCCTGATCTGGACCCATAGTATGCAGGGAGGGGTTTGCTGCAACCTCCCTACCTGCTCCATCAGCTCCCACCAATTTTTTTTTCTTTGCTGTCCTGGAATTCGAACTCAGGGCCTCGTGCTTGCTAAGCAGGAGCTCTACCACTTGAGCCACACCCACTCCCTTTTTGCTTTAATTATTTTCCAGGCAGGGTCTTCCCTAGGCCTCTCAGTAGCTCCTACCACAGGTGCGGGCCACCAGGTGACTTTTCTCCTGACTGGTTTCGAACAGCCAAACAGGACAAAGTAGTGACCCCTTTGTCAACTGCTGTACTGAGGTATGTTCTGCTCTGGGAACATCCTTGCCTATAACATGGGTAGAATCTGGCTTTGTGTATAACTCTGGTTTTAGATGTTAAACCCCACCATTTGAAAAAAGTAAGAATTTGTTTCCTCTGCCACTATGCACCAGAAACATTTGTCCTTTTGGCAAATTCCTACTCATTCTTGAACACTCCTACCTACAGGGAGGGAGTTAGGTGCTCTGCCTCCAAACCATTTTGGACATTTTTTAGGTTTGTTTTTAAATGATAAAAGTAATGGCGATTTCACAAAAAGTTTTATACCAATTTCACTTCTTGGCTTGTACCTTAGAAAACCATGGTGTACAGGATGTTCACTGCATCATTGATTAGAAAAGTGAGAAACTGATATTCACAGCCTATCAGGCAGGACCAATCACTAAACAGAGTGGAGGAAGCACATTGGAGCATGTTATGTAAATATTCACATGTACAACACCACCACCACACCAAACATTACCAAGAACTTTCTACAAAGACACCTGTATGGAACTGCACAGAAGATGAATGCCATTCACAATCCTTCTTTTCCGCCTCGCCCATTGAGCCTCTCTGGGCGGTGGTGTATTCAGTTATTCGACAAGCATCTTTCTCGCTCCTTTGTGCCAAGCTTCTGGGTTCAGGGGCAAGAGAAGTGAAGAAGGCCCAACCTCACCTTAAGGGGCTCCCTGCCTAACGGAATCTCTCAGGACCAGGCCTAGAGCCCAAGTGAGAATTAACCAGGGTGACTAACACGGTGGCCCAGACAGTGATTGGCCACCAAGTCCCTGTGGGGACCAGACCCACTCTAAGCTATTGAGAACAAGTCACTGGACGAGCTACCGACCCGGTCCTGGTTTCTGGGATCAGTCGATAAACACACAGCACTGTGTCCAGTCGTGTGCCAACAGCAGTGCTGGGTGCCAAGGGCCAAAGGAGGACAGGAAGATCCTCTACCCCAAAAGGACCCTAAGGTAACCAGGAGAAAGCTGACATTATATCGCCACCCCCCCCCCATACACAACACCTTAGCCCAGTCATCAGATCCGAAGGAGTAGCTTCCAGGGGCCATGTGTGGTAGGGGAAGAGCAGGTGGCACCGGCCGGCTAAGCGGGGGTGGGGGAATGCACTGACGGCGACAAATCACACTGGTCAGATCTAGGGTTCCTGAGAGGAGGCTACATAGATCGCCCCGTCACTCGTTCTGAGGCGTTTGTTGGGCACCCTGTGCCAGGCTGGAGTAGGCTTTGGGAAGCAGTAAAGACACAAAACTTCCACCGCGAGGAGCGCCAGCCCAGCGAGCAGATGCCAGGGAGGGCGGGAATGCTAGTCTCAGGTGCTGAAGCTGTTCGGCAAATCCTGGAGCGACGGTAGCTGACACCGGAGAGAGGCCAAGAAGTCTTGAAATTTGGAAATCCCTGTTTCAGGCAAAGAGCAGCAGACGTGCTTCGCGCCCCAGCTTTCCTCATCCATAAAGACATAGGGATAGATAATTAGAGCTCCTCGTTAGGGGAACGCCAAGATCAAATGATCTCGGCGAGCGAGCCTCAGATGTGCAGGGATGGGGGCACTCACCTCACCTCCCTCTCCCAGCCTGGCAGGTCGACCTCTGGAAGAGCCAGGCGGGTGCCGCTGAGGCGGAGGCGGGGCGCGGCGGGTGCAAGGCGGCGGCGCAGGAGCTGCAGGTCGCGCTGGAGGCGGCCGAGGCCCGCGCGGGGCGGCTGCAGCGCGGCCAGGCCGAGGTGAGGCGGCGCGCAGAGGAGGCCCGGGAGGCCGTGCTGCGCAGCCTGCGCCGGGTGCGGGAGCTAGAGGCGCTGGCACGGCGGGTGCCCGGCCTGCAGCGCGGGGTGCGGCGGCTGGAGGCCGAGCTGCAGCGCTACAGGTGAGCCTGGCGGCCGCGTTCTCCAGCCTATGCTCTGCCTTTTATCCCTAGGCTCTTGCATTTGTGAAATCATGCTGAACTTGGCTGCTTGGTCCCCTCCATCTATCCATCCACCTTCTGTTCACACACAAAGCCCCTTTGTCGATCGCAGTTGGATGTGTTTGCTCTTTGCTCTTCGATGTGATCCTGATAATAGCTATCAGTGACTGAGCATTCACTGTATACGGCTTACCTCATTTGACCCTCACCACAGCCCTGTGAGGCCAGTCCTGGAATGCCCTATTCTTCACAAGAGAAAACGCTGTGTAGCTCCATCAAGGCAGGAAGCTGAACTTGGGACCAAGGTTCAAATCCTGACAGAAGTACTGACAGATGAGTGACTTTGGGAAGTCACCACCCACCTGAGCCTATTGCTCTTGGGTGCAACACAGACTTGAGCTCCACCCTGCCGGCCAGAGTGGCTGCAAGAGGCTAGGACCTGCCAGGCATGAGACAGGTGCTCAGTAACCAGAGCTTCCTCTCCCTTCAAATCACAAGGCCAGGGGCTGAGTACCTTCTCTGAGACTGGAGTCATGCCTGGCACCATGCCTGGTCCCAGGAATGAGACTGTGAACAAGACAGACCAAAATCCCGTGGTGAACAGCCACTAAGGAGTAGGAGACATGTGGCAGCAGGTGGGATGGAAGCCAGGAAGTGTCCCCAAGTGACTCCAAGCTAAGAACTGAGGGTGGTGGGGGAGTAAACTTGGAAGGTGGTACAAGGACCTTGAAGTGTTTCCCTTAAGAGAACCTGACCCAGGAAAAGTTTTTAGCAAGGGGAGACAGATGCAGATTTGCATTTCAGTGAAGAGTTGCTGGGCTTCAGTGTTGACTGAGGGGGAGGAGAGGTGAAGCACAGTGGGAGACAGTGAGGAGTGCTGCTAGGGAGGGGAAGATGGCCTGGCCGGGGCTAGGCAGAGCAGACAGAAGAGTTGGCTTTGAACCTCTGTCCTCAGAGGAGGGGCCCATCTGTGACTTCTGTGGTGCATCTGTGACTTCTGTGGTGCATCTGGAAGATGAGAGGGAGGCCTCAAAGAGGCTGCCTCCTGCAGCTCCAAATGTTTGGCTAGTCGCTTCCTGTTTGCATAGCTGATCAACTAAAGAGCAGGGCTGCTTGGCGTGAGGCCTATGTCCAGCCTTGGAACTTTCTCTAAGAGGAGAAATAAAGGTTCTCTCCATTTTGCCTTAAAGTCACAATTGGTCCTTTACGGCATGAATATAAGAGTAACTGTGAACACTGGGATAGGACTTTATAATAGAATCCTATCCATGGTACATTAACCTTCACAAGACAATGCAAGGTAGAGGTTTCATCACCATTTTAAAGATTATGGGAAGTGAGGCTGTGGAGGTCACACAAAAATTAGGTGGATGGAGCTGTCACTTGTTTCTCTGCCCCTGTAAAAAAGTGTCCTTCAAACTCCACCCAGTTCAAGAAGCTCTCAGGCCTGTGGACTGACTTACCCCAAAGCTCTTCCTCTTTGTAGAAAGGAGAGGAGGAGACAGAATTAATTAGCCACGGTCATGTATTGAGCAACAATATGCCACACACGATGCCAGGCACTTTCCCCATGGCAGTGCACGGCACCTCTAAACCACCTTGAGTGTTCTTCTTACCTGAATTCCCCTTGAAAAAACTGAGGCCAGTGAGGAGCACTTGCCAGGGTACCTCGAGTGACTACCCAGCGCAGGGTTGAAACCCAGCCTGCACAGTTCAATACCTCATACCCCTGGCTAGGTTTGGTTACATACACAGTCTTCTTGGGTTCTCCCACCTCAGAAACATCTACAGGACACCTTACATACTAGGAGGGTGTATTAGTCAGACTTCATGTCACTGTGACCAAAAGGCCTGACATAAACTTAAGTGAGGAAGGGTTTATTTTAACTCAGGGTGTCAGACATTTCAGACCGAAGGCCTTGGCTTGGCTGATTCTGGCCCTGTGTTGAGGCAGAACATCAGAGTAGCAGGAGCATGTAGCAGAGGGTACTCACTCATGGCGGCCAGGAAGCAGAGAGAGAGAATACAGGAGGCGGGCAGGGAAAGATGTATCCCAAAGACATGCCCCAGTGACTTATTTCCTCCACTACGCCCAACTCCTACTTCTTGCCACCTCATAATAATGCCTTCATACCGTGAATCCATTAAGGGATTCATTGATCAAGTTAGAGCCTTGAGGATCCAGTGACTTCCCAGAAGCCCATCAGCTGCCAACCGAGCCGTGTGGGGACATTTCATATTCAAACCATAACACAAGGGCCATGAGCTGCATACATCTCTGTTTCTGTACATTCCTTTTCATCCTGCTCAGCCCTGTGTTATGGGACCCTCTTTAATCTTAAACATACAATGGGGACTCAGTACCCATGGGTTCCACATACATGATTCAACTTACTGAGACCAAAAATACACAGAATAAAATGCATCTGTTCTGAATATGCTCAGACTTTTTCTTGTCAGTATTCTCTCAACAGTGCAGTAGTAACAGTTGTCTCAGCATTTCCATTGTATTAGGTATTGTATGTTGTCTAACGATGATTTAAAGTAAATAGAAGGGCTGTGTAGGTTCTGTGCAAATACTGTGCCATTTATGGAAGGAACCTGAGCATCCGAGGGTTTTGGTATCCACAGAAGGTCTGGAGCAATACCGTACTTACTTTACAGTATCTTGGATTGCAGCAGTAATTGAGTTTCCTCTGGTGTTTTATGTCTGCTGCCTCAGGAATGGCAAGTTTCTGGTGTGCTGTGTAATTTTGGACTGTGAGCCCATCTTTGGTAGAGCCGTGACTGATTTGGAACAAATCCCAAGGCCGATAGGAGGAATTTTGATAGTTTTGGCTCATGGAAGAAGCAGCTGTTTGCTGGCCTCTGGCTTCACACAGAGCCCACTTATCACTGCACAGGCCTGGTTGTCTGTGGCCCTCCGTGGGCGTTGCAGCTGCACCTTCTCTCCCCATACAAGCTGGAGGCCTCCTCTTCTTGTTTTTGACCTTGTATCTTTGTTCTTTTAAATAGCTGTATTTTACCCAGCATTTCTGTGTATTCATAGAAAGAAGGGGAGCTTCCCATACAACCTTTGTCCACCATCTTGACCACCAACCTAGAAAAAAACAGCAAAAACTTAAGCAACTGGAGACATCCATTTATTCACTCAACAATACTTTCTAAGTACCGCCCGTGGACCAAGCCTGTGCCTGATACCCTGTGGACAAAATGGCATGGACAGTCCAGTGTGCTCAGATACTCAAGGGAGCTGGCCGTGAACAAGCATGTTAGGACACAATGTGTCACATGCAAAACGGCCAAAAGAAGCCACTGCTTTGAGTGGTAGAAGCCCAGTCCACACAGGAGAGCCTCAGAGCCTCAGGGGCTCAGGCTTCCAGGCAGGGGAGAGCCCAGGAGCTCACCTGGCCCAGCCCCCTGCTGAAAGAGGCATCCTCCCCAGGGGAGTGCCCACCCTTCGTGGCCACACAATCCCTGTGTCCCACCTCTGCTCCCTCCTCAATCCCATAGGACGGTGCATCTGGGCCCAGCACAGGTTTGTGCCTAGCAGACTGCACTGGTGACTTGGGAAAGATGTCATGTCACAGTAATGCAAGCTGCTTGTTATGGAATATCTGCATCACCATTCATAAAATGCCACTTAGCTTGCTCTGCTGCAGACCCAGGTCCAGCCACTCCCCATCTGTCCTCTGTTTTCTCTTTCTTTCCTTCCTATCAGCAAGGTCTCTCAGATGAGTGCAGAAATCTTAACTCAAACTGACTTGGGTGAAAAAGAAGTTGATTTCACAGTGAAAAATCTAGGCATGCACAGCTTCAGGTATGGCTGGATCCAGGTTCTCCAGCAGTGTCACCAGGACATGCTGAAGCTCCACTTCACGCTCCTGATGCCAAGGTAACTCCAACGTTCTGAGTCTGGAAGATAGACTGTTCAGACCCAAGCCTCAGTGGGCCAACTTGGAAGCACACTCAACCCCAAACCCGTCATGTAGGCAAGGATAATTTGATTCTGTAATTGGCCAAATATCAGTCACATACTGGAGTCAGAGCAAGGCCCCCTGAGCTCTAGAACTGAGATCCTCCCAGAGGAACTGAGAGAGTCCGTTGGACATGGACAGGCAACATACACCCTCCCTCTCTGAGCTCACAGCCTAAATCCCCTTCTAGACTCAGGGACAGTCCACCAGGGTCAAGCAAGGCTCTCTAGAGAGTGAGGCCCAAGGAGGAAATTGGGTCACACCTTGGACAAGATCATCTTGAATGGGATTTCCTAGCCCCTGCTTGTACTGTTCAGGTGTTTCAGAGCATGGCAGAGCCCATCGGAGAAAGCATCAGCAGAGTGTCTCTGTGCCCCAGCCCAGGCCTGGCACAGCAAGATGCATGTGAGCAGGTGAAAGGAGGCAAGAGCAGACCAGTGGAGGCTGTCCTCAGACATGTCTTGCCAGGCAGGGTGTGACTACCTGGGACTTTGGCAGGTCCAATGGCCTAGTGTTGCTTAGAGAGGCAGTACCTGACCACCAACCTAGGGGTAGTACTGGACCTTGGAGGGGTCAACCTTGGCCTTGGGGTGGAAGGTCTCAAGTGAGTTCATGGCCTTTCCTAACCTCAGAGGCTGCTGGTGTCTCAGCCATTTGCCTGGCCAGGCCTTCCCTGCTTTGCTGCAGGCCTTCAAGACACCTGGGCAGGGGTAGGAGCCCAAAGAGTCTGCAAAGAATGTAGAACCACTGCTCCAGCTGGAGCAGGGAAGAGGGCAGGCTGGCCTCTCTGGCTTTGTTGTATTGAAGGATGAAAAGGAGAGAGGGAGGAAGGCAGAGGTTGGTTCAATCCATAGCCATGTGGAGGGGACACAAAGATGAGGCCACTTGAGGGCACCTCCTTCTGCCCCTGGGCCAAGCTGGGGGTCAGGTTCCAGTCAGGGAAGGAGCAGAGGGAGGGTGAGGTAGGGCCTGGCATCTATGCCA